TATATATATATATATATATATATATATATATATATATATATATATATATAGCATGAGTGCACGATTATCTAGAATTATCAAAAATCGATCGAGTAAGTAACGTCTTCTCCTCGTGAATCGAGGTCAAAAATTGTTAAGAGAAGATAAACTTCGATGTCTGTCCTATTTCACATAAATACGAATTCGATTACGTTCAAATTAAAAATGGAACGGGAATTATTATTTAAAACGGTAGAATACAAGAGAGGGAACTGACTCTTCTCACTAAATCACATCAACTTGGCGCGTACGTGTTTCGCCACCCTCGTGGTACGTGCTCTACGACATTCAAGTGCCATCAATTTGCCGGTAAGTAAGTAGATTTTGGTCAATCCAGTTAAATTCGTTTCTGATGTGACTGCTACAATAATGGAGCATTTTTGTTATTGTTTACAAGGATGCAAACGATGAGATGAGCAAAAAGAAAAAGAAAAAAAGAAAGAAAAAAGCTCACCGTTGTGTACGATCGAGCAAAAGGAAAAGATGTTTCACCGATTTAAGAGTTAAAAAGATTCAGTCGGTAGTCGATTGGTGGCCCAATTGTAGTCCTTATCACTAGCAATAACAGGACGCACTCTCGCGTGCCAATGATTGCATGGTTCCTAGGCGTTCTACCGTGAGCACTGCCGTTGTACTAATACTATTATGGAACCAGGTCCTTGGATCACCATGAACGTACTACCTTCTGTGCCCACCAGGAATACAGAGTAGGTTACGTACACGGTGTCAGTTGCATGTCCTAATCAGAGCTAATGTCCATTGTTCACTCACTGGACAGTACCGACAATGTTCCGAGTAATCGATCGTTTCAGAATTTAAAATCACCTAAACTTGGTTCACGTTTACCTACACATTACCTATATCTAATTTCCTTAATATTATTTCACGTTTCGTTCGTCAATATGCATGCATTTAAAGATATTACGAATAATGCACTTGCATATCAATAATAAATGTATTCCAACAAGTACAAAAGTTTTCCGTTTATATTAAATTATAACAGACAGTAATAATTAATAGTTATATATAATATCTGTATGTAATTCACATTACATCACGAATATTAATGCACGATTGGTTTCATGAATGACTTATAGATATTCTATTTTATAAATTATTTTCGATCGGTTTGTCATAAAATAAGAAATGATGGCAAAATAATGAAAATATATATATATATAAATAATATCATAAGATTTGAAACACTGTCTGCCAAACAGTGTCAGAAATCTTGATAAAGAAACTTTGTGGAATATTTTGTCTTGTCATCTCTATCCGTAAGGATTTTAATTAATTGGTACGCAGTAAGAAAGAATTGGGGGACGAAACGAGAGTAAAACAAGAAATATCAGAGATTGGAAAAGCTACTGAAAGAAAGAAAGAAAGATGAGAAGCAAAAGCGAGTGAAAACGATGGGGTAAAAGGTAAGAGTAGGATTACTTGGCAAACTGAGACCCAAAGCCAATGCTGAAGCATCAGCCTGCGGCACTAGTTACACGATGACTTAGTTCTATAGCAATTCGCGAGTATAATGTGTATTTCGAATCTTCTGGTTAGTTTTCCTAAAAGATCTGTGTGTATAAATTTACTCTCTTTATTGCCTATCCTAATTCCACTAAATTTTCACCTCCGTCCGCATGTTTATTTAACCACTTGACGTTACGTAATTATATCCGTTATTACGCAATTACCGCTTCGATAGTATATTAATCTATGGATGACATATTGCAGAAAATACAGTAAATGTTCAACCATAAAAAATATTGTGTAAAAAAATAAAAAAAAAAAATAAATAAAAAAAATTATATAAAATATAGAGTAGAAAAAAGCATACCATCGCATGTTGCCACTACTCGTGTCTACATTTTATTTATCGCCTGTTAACCCGCCGTGACTGTGGCCGACATAATCGCAGAGTCATTAAAGTCATTAAATCACTACAACCTATGTATGCTTTCATTTTTATACTCTCACCGATCTTTCGTTTGTTCTATGCATGGTTTTTCCCTTCGTTCTTACTTGCTTAGTAAATCGTATAGCTAACAATAATTTTTTTGGCCAAAAAAAATATACCATTGGCATTATTTTTACGTTAACTTTTACCATTTAATTTTAATTTACTAATTTTTTTTTTTCGTCTTATCGTATTTACACAATTTTAACTTTTAACTTTATCTTTTTAATTTACAAAGTTATAAAAGAAAATAAGAAAACAAAAAGAATTTCGCGAAATAGCGTCATTCGTTATAAAATAACATATTATACCATTATACGCAAAGCAAACAGACTAAAGATTATAAACATAATTCGAGAAAACTAAAAGTAGAAGTAACTTAGTGAATATTGGATGACTCGAGTCTAATGAACGAATGAAATCTGCAAAGAAAGAACAGATAATAATAAAAGCTTCACCCTCGTTTGTGCACAGCCAGTTACATTTTCCATTCTTTATTTTATTCTATTTTATCTGGTATAATATTACAATACCGCAGTTGAATTCCATCGATAAAAAAAACATAAAGTTTTAATGATAAAACAAATATTTTTTTTATTGTTATTTATTATTTTTATATTTAAATACATTTGCAAAATTAAGAATTAATAATCTTTCTTTTAAATGGTATATAAAATTTTATCTATTTGACAAAACAATAATTAATGTTTCGTCGAAATGTTTCTAAGTCATGATCATGTTGCAGAATCAATCTATCGGGAATTTTTTCAAAAATAAAAAAATGAAATGAAATAACAATCTTATTCGAATATCAATTTCGAATATCTTTTTATCACACAAATGTATTGAAATATATTTCGCAATATTGTCGAAATATTTGTCTCTTTTTTATTTGACAAATATTATATTATATATTATATTATATATTATGCATAATTTCCATTTCGATTTGAATTAAAAAATGTTGAAAGTGATAATCTATGCTGATCCTTAGATTCTAATCATTAATTAACCGATAACTAACCATTGACTGACTAAAATAAAATTAAAATATTCTGACATCTTGATAATATGAAATTTTTTCATATTACGATATTAGCAGTAAAAGATTTCTTCATTATTAATGATTGAGCTAAATATAATTTTAAATTTGACTTAATAAATTAAAGATAGCGTAAGAAATATACTAAAGTTTTTCGAAATCGATATTTCAGAACATGAAACACGAATTCGTAATGTTTATTTTAGAAAATTATAATGTAAATTTGCAGTTGATAAAGGAGCATTTGAACTGCACCCACAATGGGTTATTTCACAGTCGGTAATGTAATCACAGGGAAGCCGGTAACAAGTAGTAACGTCGGTATAGACTTACCTTCACTTCGTGCATCTTATGGTAACACAGCGGAAAGGTTTATAAGCAATTGTTACAAAATGAAAAGATATATTTTGATTTCATATTTTATCATATTTTAAAATAATGGTGAATCTTGTAAAAGTATCACATTTTTTTTTATTTCTTTTAATTTTACGTCTTATTTATTGAAACTCAAAACTTCTAATTTTATAAAATATCTCCTTTTTAAACATTAAATCAACATTAAATTAATGAATAATAATATTATATATGATAAAACTGTAATTCACTATGTAAGATCATAAGATAAGATCAAAGCGATAGTTAATTAATATAAAGAAAAAGGATCATACTGCTCGAGAATGATAGAATCACTTATAATATGAAAAGAATTTCATGTAAATAATGAAATTGGGAGAAAGATGCATATAAATTTTTCAATATTTTATGATTAAAAAAATTAAGTTAATATAAATGCAAGTATACAATATGCTAATGATTAAAAATTTTATGAATAATTTTAATACGATTTAATTATTAAAATAAAAAAAAATCTTATATTTCATAATAAATAAAATTTTATAAAATCTCGATGAACAATACAAAGATAAAATTAATTAAATCAATTAATATTAATTACAGATATTAGGATTATAAGGAATAAAACTTAATATCATTTTAATCGGATAATTTTTAATCGAGATTTTATATTGTATAATATTATTATAAAATTTAATATTAAGATAAAATTTAAATAAGAAAAAAATATGAATGAATATGATCCAGTAACATTACACAAAACGGAAAAATAAACATATGAATAATCAAGATTAACGAGTTTTACCACTGGAAAAAACAATTGATATTTTATCGCGCAATTAAAACATTTTATGTAAGCAATAAAATAACGCGAAAAATAAGCGATTTATGGCATACATATTGGTCGATTTAATAAACCTATAAATCTTATAAAATTATATTTTATTCCTGAACTATTTCCGTGCTTTGATTTATAGAAATATTTATATTATCAATGTAAAGTAAATAGTAAAGTAAATAGAATACACATAAA